AAATCAACCAATAAGAAATGCTTGCAAGGCTGTGGGGAAAAAGGAACCCTTCTTCACTGTTTGTCGGAGTTTAGAATGTTGCAAACACTGGAAATCAGTATGGAGATACCTCAAAAAATTAGGGTTAGAGATCCAATTTGACCCAGGTATTCCTCTGCTGGCTATCTTCCCAAAAGCATTAAAAGAACCATACCATGGAGATATATGTGCACCTATGTTCATAGTAGCACAGTTTGTAATAGCTAAAAGTTGGAAGCATCCCAATTGCCCAACAGCTGGAGACTGGAAAAGAAAATGTCATTTTTTTATAAAATGGAGTACTACTCAGCCATAAAAATGAGAAATTAGAGACATTTACAGCTAAATGGATCCACATTGAGGCGATACTCTTAAGTGAAATAAATAGGACATGTGTAAATATTTAATTTTCTCTCTGGTGTGAGAAACTGAAAGTGTAAATAAGGATCAAAAGGCATAATAGATAATGTGAAATAGGAAGAAAAGGTGCAAAGGGGAAGGGGAAGTGGGAGGGGGAATGAGAAAATGAAAAAATGGAAACAAAGTCTTTGTAAATGGGAGGTGGAGGGGTTGACGGGAGGGCAGGGGAATGGGGAAAAAAATAAGAGCCAAGATATATCATGTAGAGGTACAAATTCCCAATGATGAATTTCCCAATGATGAATGTCATATTGTATACCTAAAATGTACCAATAAAAGCAATGTAAAAATGTAGGCTGTATATGCTTACATTTTCAAGTACTCATATCAAGAAATAAAAGTTAACAAGTGAAATTAATTCTACCACCTTGTTTTATTTAAATCAACACATCCCAAATATTATCACTTAATCATGTGATCAGTATAAAATTATTAATGACATATTTAAGAATTTTGTCAAACTAAGTTCTCAAACATCTGATATGTGTTTTGTGATTCCAGCTTCTCTGAACTGAGATAATGCTCAATAGATTCCTGTGGCTAGTGACTACTAGATGAATAGCTCAACTACATGGAAAGTGTAATTAATCAAAATAGAAAAATATAAAGAACTGTATGTCCAAATGTTAAAATAAAATAAGAGCATTCAGAATCTTCTGGATAAGTTATCAATACATAAAGAGCAATAACATGACATCCTGAAAATATAGACAATAGATTTTAAAATAAAATAGTACATTAACTATTTTTAGGTTAGGAGAGGCTCCACCCTGCTCTGGCTGGCCTCCAGGAACACCCATGTCACCCCATCCTGGCTCTTGGTGGTTTCCCTTTGGACTCTGATAGCTGTGCTCAGCCATCTGTACAGGAGACCTGAGTGGCATCCTCACTGTGACGTTTCCATACAACTGGTTCCTCCACTAGGTTGCCCTCCAGAGTGCACTGAGGTTTCTACATTCTCACTTCCTCCCCCAACCCTAAGCCCTCCCCTTATCCAGTCTCTTCCAACACAGGCTCCAACTAGACTCTCTGACAGGCAATCAGGGCCCTTCCCTTGGGTAGGGTAGGAGGATTCAAAGTTCAAGCCCATCCTAGGCAATTTAGGGAGACCCTGCCTAAAAATAAATAAAAAATAAATAAAAGGAAAAGTGGGAAAAGGGATTGGAAAGAATGGAAAGAAGAGGAATTGGAAAACCAAGAACTCTATACTTTTCTTTACTTAAAGGCTCTTTTAAGAAATGGTTAGTGGATAATCTTCAAATCATACAAAATTAAAGTTCAAGAATCCTTTAACTTCAGTTCAACTTTTCATATCTTAAATTCATGTAAAATAAGTTTAATGTCTAAAAATATCACTTATTTTGATTCCTATTTATTTATTTATTTATTTAAGTGGAGCTGGGGATCAAACCCAGAGCCTCATATATACTAAGCAAATACGATTCTTTTCAAATGTATGTGAGCATGTGTACGTGCCTATGTGTGACTGTGTATTTGTCACTTCTTGTCTTTCCATCCTTCCATCTAACTCTTGAAGTTGTTGGGAACAAAAAGGAATAATTTTTTTGTCATCAAATGTCAGGTCCATGGCCGAAGCCTTTCAGAGATAAGAGAAAAAGAGTATCCATTTCTTTAATGTAAGTTTTACGTGACACAACATTCTTCAAAAAAGAATACTCAAAGAAACAGAAATCTACATATTTTATGTTCAGTCTGACCAAGAGGTGAAAAGTTCTGGAAATAAATGTGATTAGATACAGAGTATAATTTAGCAGGGCCTGTTTGTCCAGATTCCTCCTACTTCCCTCCAGGGATGCAGCAGGACCCCCAGTACTTGAAGGCATCCAGGGGAGAAGGGAGGGAGGGCAGACAGGGGACTACCTTGCATTTAAGGAAGAAAAGCAAGGAAAAGTTGAGAAAGACCCTCCTGCTTTTTCCCTTTTCTCAGTTTCCAAATTGCCACAACCCATCAAAATCATAACACTTTTCTGGAATTTATAATCAACTGATGTTTATGGTAATTATTTTTACAGCCTGAGTTTGTAATTTTTCTCATTTGTGTCTTTCTGTAATTGTACTTTGTAGGAATTTTTGATAATCCATATGTGCATGTGCAATTTCTATGAAAAATAGTAGTGATTTTTCTTTTAAAAATTTAAGAACCCATTAGCATTTATACCTAGATGTTTCCTCAATGCCTCATGGGCTCAAAGATGAGGCTTTTGGGAGTGACTGGATTATGGGAGTTGTAGCTGACTTGCTGTTAGGAGGTGGAGTGAGGCAGAAGAGGCTAGTCACTGGAGGCCGCCCTGAAAGGGATCCGCACCCCCACACTTCCTTTGCTTTCTGCTTCCTGGGCCACTTTCCCTCCCCGGGCCCCTGTTCTCTGCCACCCTCTCGCTGACTCTGGACTGAACCTGTACAAACTGTGAGCCAAAATAAATCTCTCCTCCCTTACACCTTGTATTGGGTATTGTGTCCCAATGATGAAAAAATGACTAGGACAGGACTCAAATAGAATTTAAATCTTAATTTTTTGTTTTGTTTTGGGAGTATGTTATTGGAAATAAGAAGAGTGAATCACATTTTGGGCAACTTTCTGTGTTTTCTGGTATATAAAGGGTCAAGTCTTTGTGTAACCTCAAAGCAGTTTCCACTGGGTGATCTACTTCCCACCCCTATTTTTTCAAATAGTTTATTTCTGCTCCAATGATCTTCAACTACTAAAAATGGAGCAATTACTTCTTTGTTGGAAAAATGGTAAGGCAAAAATTAATTTTATAATTTAAATTATAAATCCATGAGAAAGTAATTGTAAAATAATATTTTCCTATGTGTTTCTATTATAGGCAGCTAAACCATAAAATAATCAAGCTATAGCAAAGAAGCCGTAGCAAACACTGGTACACAAAAAGTCTTCATCTGCTTTTCGGTATTTCCACATTGATGCTATGATTTTTCAAAGGAAATTGAAACCAAGGGTGGTGCCTGAAGCCTATAATCCCAGCAACTCAGTAGGCAGAGGCAGAAAGATCACAAGTTTGAAGCTAGCCTGGGCGATTTAGGGAGACCCTGTGTCAACATAAATTTAACAACAAACCCCAAAATGAGTTGGGGATGTAGTTCAGTGATAAGACATTTGCCTAGCATGCCTGTAGGTCTAATTTCCAGTGCCATGAGAAAAGAGAATTAGAAAGTTAAAGATTCTAAAATGAATTAGATTCATTTTAGGTTGAATGACTTCTGGCTTAAAGGCAAATTGATTTCAAAACCAGATTGTCACAATGCCATGTGAAACAAACATTTGAAAAAAAAAGGCTAATATATTAAATGAAGGACTCTGAGCACTGCTATCGTGGTCCGAGCAGAGACCACTTTAAATCCCTTTTCCCTGCTATGCTTACACCTGCTGCAGATGTATCGTCATGGGTCAATAAGGCCCAGTAAGCCCAGCCACACCCTGTAACTCTCAATCATCATTCAGTTCTGCTCTTGACAAATAACTCAGCCCAGGGCAGAGAGCAGCAGCTCCTTTGTACTGATCTCTCAAAAGTCCCATGGTGACTTTTCCCTCCCACAGCCCCTGTTTGTTATCCTCATGATCCTATAAATACCTTATAGCCTGTAGGGGAGCAGGGCCAGGGTGGTCCCTCTCAGGTTTGTTCTGAAATAGCAAATTAGAGAAATTTGACCTCTCTTTCCTTTCCTTTTTCCTAACATTAAACTCATCTGTTCAGTTTCATTTTTTCCATTCAAGGATTGATTATGCAATCGCCCCATGTGTGAATATTGAGGGCCTCCTTACAGCACTATAGGGAGAAACTTTGTTATTAAAGCTGGGGCCTGAGTAGCCTTATTTGTAATGATAGGATATCGTGAAACAAATGGATAGGAAAGAGTGGATCTGCATTTTTCCGTTTTGAATAATTTCCCTGTTGACCTCTAGTGTTATCCAAGCAGTGGATGCACATTCGGGTGAGATCTGGGTGGTAGAAAAGGGCAGAGAAAGGGAGCTCCAGGCACGAGGTTGCAGTGTGTTTGCATCAGCTGAGCAAGGCTGGTCCTTGGGGAGGGTCAGTGCTTGTGGCCAGACAGCCCACACCAGCCTTCTTAGCAGGTAGAATTTTCACGACCTGTAGGAGCTTCTTACTAGTACAGGAGACAGAGACTATATATGCTTGGAGAGGAGATAAAAACAGTATAAAGGAAGACAGATTTTTCAGGACTTAGAAAGAAGGGGACCATCAGTTGATCTTTCAAAAGCATTTAAAAAAAATCTTCTTTCCTGAAATCTCTACTTTCTGTATGCTCCTGTACTTTCACATAAATATTCACAAATGTATCAAAAGGAGTGTGCCCTCCCTCTCAGAGTATTTCCTAGTGGCTTTCTTTGTAAATTCCAAGAAGAGAACCTTAGATTAGGTGGGGGGGGAATGCACTTCAGTCCATATCATGAATTATAACATGGAAAATTACTTATTTTTATTTTTATCACAATAACAAATACTTAAGAAATCCTCGTGATGTACAATGAACATATTCTCACACTGGGTTCGTGGATGCGGTCATACTCGTTCCTCGGCATTGCAGATTTAAGCCATGCCTCCTGTTCATAGGTAATTTTCTCAGTCCAAAGGATTTATTTCTGGCATTTCACAGACCCGAAGCATACTGAAGAAGCAGGTCACATCGTTCCAGTTCCTCCTTGGGTCCGAAGAGTCCCTTATCGTGGTGCAGTCCTCCAGGGTGGCTATGTTGTTGGGCTCCCCTACATCCCAGAAACTGGAGAAGAGAGAGGGCAGATTTTAACTTCCAAGAAGGGGAAATAAAGGCCTGCAACATATTTGGGCAAATGATGTTGTGTCATTTGACTTCACAACAATCCCGCCAGGTAGTTACTGCCATCTTCATCTATCAGTGAAGAAAAGGCGTCTCAGAGAAGCCAGGCCACTTGTGCAAGCCTTTGAGTTTGTGGGTCCCGAGGCCTAGTGGGGTCTGCTTGGCTTTCTGGTCTGCCATGCAAGGTGGGCTGACCCCCTGGTGCATTTGTTTCCTTTGCACTACTGTTGCATGTCAATCCTGGTTCCCTATTCCAGAGACTATGCATTAACTTGAGTGTGTCCTTCAGTGTCACAGCGCTGCCCTGGTGCAGCTGTCCTGGAGAACAGAGTCTGGCCGGGCGCTACGCGTAGAGCTGTTCACTCAGCCACTGAAGGTTTCTGCCCTTCAAGTTCTTCAAATGGTAAGTAAAGACTAATAACATTGATGTATTTTAGAAAGTGGTAATTTTGATAAAACAGAATGAGGGAAAACTCTGGAAATTCAAAACTCCTGTTTTAATAATGTAAAGGCATTAAAAGGACTTTATGGTGAAGAAAGATGTTACCAAGTGGTTCCCACATTCACAATGTATGAATCTGCTCTCAAACTCAAATTACTGTTTGTTTCCTCATTTACAGCCCTCTGCAGATAAGACTCAGTTCTACTGCCTCTCTTCTACTTTTCACTCAGCGGTTCTCCCATTCCAATCTCCTCCTCCTTCCCATCTATTATTTTCTTACTCTCGAGACAGTCCCAGGGAATGGGAGAGGCTGTGCCTGACTTTTTTCTCCTCTGCTCTGGCTCATCCTCTCCCTGCGTCTAGTAGTGCCAAAGATGCACCTGAATGCACCTTGTGGGACAAAGGGAAGCTCTGAGCACTTCCCTCAACCATGCTCTAACATTAGCACTGGAAGCAGCATGAAAATTTCCCTACAAGAAGGTTCTTACCTCAGAGAGAAAGGTGTGCTGTCCACCCACTGCCACTGCCCCTCAACCACCTGGTCCGTCAGGCCAATGTAATACTCTTTCTTTTTAGGTTTGGTGTAGAAAAGGAATTCCTATGGAAAAGACACAACCAAAGAGAGCAAAATAGCTATTTCAGTTCTGAAGAGATATTGGAATTAATTGTTATTAAAAGAAGTAAAGTGGGATTTAGGCTGGAGGGAATAGATAAATGAATCTGCAAGTGTAAGGTCATCAGAGAGTCTCTATTCAATTTTTTATTGTGGTAAATATATATAGCAAAAGTAAACTGTAAGAAGTAACTTTCCACATAGAAGATTTTCAATAACTACTCAATGTACCTGCACTGTTATTGGTAATCAAATCTCTTGCATGTATCTTCTACAAAGCATTATCAATCACAATTTGGAGATAATAGACAATAGTTGCTTGCCCTATTTGATATAACGTGCTAAAACAATCAACTCCCAATCATATTTTTTCCACTGCCAACTAATAGAACTCCACGTGGAAATCAGCTTTTTATTAGGTTGTCCTAGTAATGAAGAACAATTAAAGTAGATGCTGATCTCCAGAGGTAGTGGGAACAGCATACATGCCAACATAGTCATTGAGGAGTCAAACATATGGGGAAAGCATGGCATCTGTGATGAATGCTACAGTAGCAGCAGGGTGTGTGCTCAGGTTACCTGCTCCTCTTCTGTGTTGATAACCACAAGATGACCCCCCATGCCTGAGCAGTTTTTTAAACTTGATGGCCAGGTCATGGTGTCAGTGGAAAAGAAGTAGCAACTTGATTGAAAGTGTTGCCAGTTCAGCGGACAGCAATTCTTTACTGAACCTAGGAGAGATGTTTCAGTGAGTGTTCCAGCTGAACTGAGTAATAAAATTTAAAATTTCTTCTCATCTTATGGAATCACATATTAATAATTCATTTATAATTAGAAGCCTTGGAATCCCTTATTTGTATATCACATCTTACTATCTAAGGCTATGGATAATTCCAATGTCAATAAACATAAACAGCAATTTCCTTGGCTTTTGAATATAATATTTATTTTTTAGATACCAGTACCAATAAATTCAACATTATATGCAATCTATCTCATATCTATCATCTGTTCTTAGTCTGCCAAAGTCAGAAATTACAAGTTATGCATTTTCTTGGGTGATTCCTAAGCTACCTCTCTGCTACTGCTTAAAATCATCCAAATCACTGGTGTAAAGATGGTTAAATTTCTTGAAATTATAGAACATTGGCCATTGAAATTTATTAAAAATACAAGTCCACTTTCTCTTCATTTAATGATGAAGAAACTATAGTTCAGAAAATAAAGCCACTTTCCCAATGTCATATAGCATTTTATTAAGACATGGAACAAGACAATATATAAGAGCATTTGGGGTATAATTCTGAGTTCCTTGAAAATTCTCTATACTTTTTTCCTCCACTGGAAGTAGTGAATGAAAAGAAAAATTACATTTCACCTCAAATTTACTCTAAATAAACACTAATGTCTGAGAGATTTCCTGTTCCATTGCTAATTGCATTTCTAAAATTTTGTACCTTTACCTTTATCAACTCTTTACATAGCACAAGTGGGATATACATTTTGTTTTTGAAAAAAATAGAACATAATTTTACTTATTCTAGAGTCAGTTAAGAATACAGAAAATGTTGACGTATACATTTTGATGTTCCAATTTGAGGATATTTATACCTGAACCATTATTGTCACAGGAAATTTCCTGGAAATGCTCATGTGGCTGCAACTTTTTCTCACCACAAGTTCGAAAGCTCTGATACGTTACTGTAAAAAAAAGGGCACAGTTAATTTTGGATTAAAAAATCAATTTTTCAATTTTGTTTTCACAATGTTTTTACCAATAATTTTGATATTTTTTACTATCTACTCTTCCACATGCAGAAGCACTGGGGTTCATTTGGTCAAGGAATCCACATTTCATGGTTTTCTTGATTCACAAAGACAGATTCAGTTTTATTCAGACTCACATGCCCAAGGGGAAACTACTGAGTTTGCATTCACTCTTATGACAAGTCGAGCCCTCTCTACTCTTCCTTCCATAAAATTTATTTTGTTTGTGTGCTTGACCAGTGAGTTCAGGCTTCAAGCTTGTTATCTCAAAAGAGAACAGTGTACTGATGATGGTGGTACAAAGGAAAGAACTCAAGACCACCAAGAAGATGTGAAATATCCATCATGATAAAATGTGTCCAAGAACCCTGAAATTTGCTAAGAGTTCTGTACCAGTTGGGGTTTCTTGCTTGAGGAACAGCCTGGAATTAATAGGGAAAATGTGAAATATAAAGCCTTCCTATGTAGGAGAAGAGAAATCACAGGCAGCTCAGAGAATTTACTGAATGAGACTTTTGGCACCCACCAACACATCTGGTGATAAAACAGGCAGAGAGAAACAGGATGGAGGCCCCAGCCACAGCCCAGAAGAATCCCTGGTGAGAGAAGCATCCTTTCTCTGTAGAAAAAAAGGCACAAACATAGTCTTCCAGAGGCAAATACAAAAAATGGTACATGAGTCTTATAAATCCTTATTTACTTCTTTCCCCTCACATTGTATTGAGTAATTCCCAAACTTCAGCATGCATGAGAATCACTTGGAGAGTTGACTGAAAGACAGATTTCTGGGCCTTGCTCCCTGAGTTAACAATTCATCACAACTTGTATGGAACCAAGAAGTTTGTGAGGCCGCTGAGGCTGGTGGTCTGAAGACCACAGAGCCCCTGGTTTAACCTATTGCTGATGTGGAGTCTGACTCATGAACTCGGGTGTGTGGCTTGTCCTAAGCCTCCTGTTGAAAAGATGCTTGTAAAACTACTTCAAAAAACAAAAAACCCAAAACGCACATTTCAAGGCTTTTTTCCCCATTAGCTTTTCTCTCTTTTTATGCCTTCCCACCTCTCTGCTTCTGTTACCTCCCTTGCTCACCTTCAATTTCTTTTAGATTAGACAGAACATTAACAATCACAAGGCAGTTCCTCCCTGTTTCAAAACAGACTTTACAAAAAAGATCAATTCCACAGAAGTGAAGTGCAGTCCTAGGGGCCTGGATTGTCACGGAAAGGCAGAAATAATCGATTGGGTAGCCGTGCCTGTACCCAGGTCAGCAAGCTTTCCGACATGACTTTGTCCCTAATCTCTCTTTCTTTCCCTTTTCTCCTTGTTCTGCATCTGTCCCCCTTTTTTTCACTTTACTGAGTGCTTTTTATTGTTCTGTCCCTTACCACATTCGTCACCTGTACCCATAACATCGATGGAACAAAAGGAAGAGTTGCAAATTTTACCTGCACATCGTGATGCAGAAGATTTGGAAGAATTCATTCTTTTTCTTTCTCTTTCTCAGTCTTCCCCTGCCTGCTCCCTCTCTTCTCAATATCTGGGTCCAGAAGTGTTTGGTTGGTAAGATTTCAGAGGAAGGTAATCTTCAAAGATGAACATTTATCCGTTTTTGTAAAGTCCAACTGTAAAAGACGTCCAATATGAACTTGTTCTGCCTGTGCCCTGGATTCAGGATTTCCTTTCTTGCATAATGGGGACAGTGCAGTGTACTGGGCAGCATTAACTCTCTTCACTCCAGAAAACAACAAAATGAGGAAATGGCGAAATGGCAAGCATCAAAACAAGGGCTAAGCATGGGGAAATACAAGAGGTTGAAAAGAACATTTATTTTGTTTGACAAAATGTCTCATTTTCTTCAAGGTCTAACTCAGCTCCAGTTTGTCCCTCATAATGGGGAGCCTCCTCTGCTTTTCCATTTCTACTTTTATATATGCTACCTACCCATTTGTTAACTAAAAAGGAGTCTCAGACTCCAAGTCCTCATTTAATTAACACAGAGCTGTATACATACTGTGTGTATTTATGATTTAGAAATGGAAATTTCACCTTTCATCTTTTCCCTTCCTCCTTCATTTGGATCTCTTGAACCTTCTGGTGTTGTGGGTCTGTGTCTCTTTCATCAAAGTACTAACTACGAGTTTATGTCGCACATTGGTCTCAGCTGGCTTAACTCCATTCAACATCATACAGCTGCTGAGGCTTCAGAGGCCCAGCAGGGCCTGTAATTCTATTCTGATCTACTTGACAAGCTCAGTTCCAAAAGACAGCTACTTTAGGAGAAACGGATTTAAATGGCAGAGGAAGCGATTAGAGTAGTGCTTCTTTGGGATGTTAAATATATCCCATCTCCCTCCTGAAAGGTATTTAAGCATAAGATTACTTTGACCTCACTTGTGTTAAGGTAGCAAAGGTCGAAAAGGAGAAGTACAATCCAGACCCACATGACTCCTCAATCCCCACATTTGATGACTCAGAGGTCTCATGTGGTAGAAATTAGTTTCAGTCCTAAAGGGACTTTCTATGATTTCCATTGATTGGGAAATCTCTTCTGCAGTCTTAATTTCATTGTAATCTAGACACATGAGAATATTGAAAACTATCCAAGTCGGTTGCCATGATTTGTGTGAGTGTCCCCCAAATGTCTCTGCATTGGAGACTTGGTCCCCAGGGCAGCAGTGTTGGGAGGCGCTGGGAAGTTGTGGGAGGCCAGGCCCAGTGCAGGCTCTTAGGCCACTGGGGTCCCAGACTCCCTGACTCTCTCCCTCCTGGTTTCTGCCAGGGGGCGTCATCCTCCTGTGAGACCCGACCACAGGCCGGGTGACTTTGGAGTTGAGGCTCCAGATCCATGAGCAAAAATAAACATCCTTTTAGTTTGTGGCCTGTGTTAGGTACTTTGTTACAGTAATGGAAAGAAAACTAATGTATATTTCATTAGAAAATAGCATTTGACCAGTAAAAGGAGAGGAGCGATCTAGTGAATGATACAAACTATTAAATAATTAATCATAATTATCACAGTTAATGTTTTATTGATTCTGATCAATGAGTAATCATCAATGTTAATAATTATTGATTTGCAATGAACTATATACTGATAATTGAATATTCATTTGTCAAAATATATATATGTTTATATTATTTGTTTGATCTTTTTCATGAACATACACCAACTGTACAAACCAGGGAGTTTCACTGTGGTATTCCCGCAGGTGCACACATTGTATATGGCTTGTATCCACCCACCACTCTCCCCTCACCTGGTAATCCTCTGAGACCCTTTCTCCTCCTTACTCTTCCGTGTCGCTAGTGTTATTTTTAAGAACTGTTCTGCTTTTAGTCTAATTTATTTATTACTAATTAAGGGTAATAAAAATAAAAATTTAAAATTTTACTTTTACTCACTTCTCTAATTTTCTTCTTTTCTTCATGTAGATCGTTTCCAACATATCATTTTCCTCCTGTCTAAAGAACTTTTAAGGTATCTTTTAAGACAGGAGTACTGGCAATGAACTCCCTCCACATGTATTTGCCTGATGAAGGCATTCTTTCTCCTTCACTTTTGAACAGTAACTTTACTGGGTACAGAATTCTGCTTGGTGGACTTATTTTTTCAATGCCTTAAATTAAATTTCACTCCAATCTCTTCTTGCTTACATGGTTTTGGTGGAAAAGTCAGATGTAATTCTTATATTTACTCCTCTGTGGGTAAGGTGACCTTCCATTCAGCTTTTTGAAGTTTTTCTTTATGTCTGATCTTTTGTTAAAATAATCTTATGCCTAAGTGCATGCATGTGTGTATACATATTTTCCATAAAAATATACAATTTGAAAAGTAAGAAATGCATTACTTAAATAAGTGGCTTTGTGAAGTGGTCAGAAATGATTTTATCTAGTGAAAATGCTTTGGCTTATTGTTGCATATAATTGAGTAATTCCTCTTGTTGGAAATTGTACAAGCATCACATGATTAAAAGTCAAGTGAAAAATGTTTACCCAATTTATGCTTTGATACTCTCCTTCTGATATCTGTGACATCATTAATCATTAAATGCTCAGGTCATGCTAACATAAAGCCAATATTCTAGTCTACAGTACTTATCATGGGATCTGCAGTCACCCAGAACCCACTGAAAATACAAAATTCCTAGGAGTTTTCTATAATTTGGAGTTTGTTTTTAATGGAATGTTTTCTTGTTAGAATCAGCACACCAGGTACAATGGCAGAGATTGGTGGGCTCCTAGGAGACTTGCACTAACTATGGATAGAAAGTGAATTGAAAGCCGAGAAGGTGCACAACAAGCTATTTGTGGAAAACAAAGGAAAGTTTAGGTGTTAGAACATCTGTCTTGGACCTGAGGGAGTGATTTATAAACACCCTACCTTCACTGGGAGGGGTCAAGTTTTGAGCACAGCCTGTTCACCTACTTTTAGGAATGTTTAGTTCAGAGCAGGATTTTCAATAGCATATCTTTCTCTGGTTTTGTCTGTTAGACTAGTCCGAATCACTATGAATATGAAATTATCTAACACTTCTCCTTTGTTTGTTGCTCTCCTCTTTGTATCTCAGGAACAAAGTTCTACTCTTTCACCTGGGTCTCCTGGCTACTGTCATGATGGGGATTTCATTACTGGGGGACTCCTTTCCCTAAGAGTGACTGATGGTGACATGAGAAGCAAATTTGGATTTCAAAATACATTTTATATGCAACCTTATGTACACGTGTAAGTGTGTGATGTGGGTACCAGATTATGACAATGCTTAAGTGTATGACTGCTCTTAAGTGCATAGGAAGACTTGCAAAGCACTGTAGAGTTGAGAAGTGTTTTTCTTTGTTCAAACATGCAGGGCGCTGTGTTGACATCTTTTTTACCTATGCCATTTTAATTTGTTCGTTTGGCACCTCTTTTGTATATTTCCTTGGGTAATCTAACAAAATATTTTTTTTCCTGAAATGCATCCTGATATTCAAGGCAAGACTATATAAAATTCTAAATTTTTATTTTTGCTGTTTTCCATTGACTTCACTTCCCGACCTTAGTTTCTCAGATGCAAGATGCATGGCGAAAAGCCAAAAGTGTAAATTTGACTAAAGCTGATTGTAAGTCTGATTTTTTAGCCACCAGATTTCTCAACATTTTTGATATAAGATAACCAGTTTATTTCTTAGGCATGACTCTTGCCTTTTTTAGAAACAAAAATTTAGAAGGGATAGGGGAAAGGAAAGAAGGAAAAGGAATAAATATGAGAAAAGGAAAAAAAGTCTTTATAAATAGGGAGGGGTGGAGGGGTTGAAGAGAGGGCAGGGGAATGGGGAAAAAATAAGAACCAAGATGTATTATGTAAAGGTACAAATTCCCAATAACGAATGTCAACATACTGTATACCTAAAATGTACCAATAAAATTAATGAATGAAAAAAAAATTAGAAAACTGTCTTTTCACCACTGTATTTTAGGGAACTTACTAAGCATTATCAGCAGCTGCTGGCCATGATTTTTGCTGTAGAAAAGGTCAATAACAACTTGAATATGCAATTCAATATGTCCCTAGGATTTTACTTCTTCAATGTTGACTACATTGAGATGAGGGCCCCGGAGAGTTTTGTCTTTGCTTTCAGGAGAGAGTCCTCCAGTTCCTAATTACAACTGTAGGTCTGAGAAGAGAGACAAGCTGGTGGCTGTGATGGGAGGCATTTCAACAGGAATATCAACTCAGATTTCCTGAGTATTAAGTCTCTACAATATTCCACAGGTAGACAAAATTCTGGCATTTGAGGCTAAATATAAAAAATATAATGGATGCCAAACAAAATTCAGTTTATTAAGTGAGGGATGATGTATAATAAATTGCTATTTCTTAGTCATTTACTCAATTGTTTTATTCTGTCACAGCACATGCAACAGAAAGGATAAATTAAATCATTAGTGAATGAATATCATGATTTTCTGTAAGAAGTAACTATGTTTTCTGTTTAGATCAGCTATGGCCCATTTGATCCAAGCCTCAGAGACAATGTCCAGCTCCAGTTTATTTATCAATTTTCTACAAAAACTGCAGCTCTGTGTCAGGGCCTCATTCAAATAATGCAGCATTTCAGTTGTGTCTGGGTTGGCCCTGTGGTTCCAGATGACATCAGGGGAGAAATATTTCTCAGGGAGACTACACAAGAGATAAACAACAATGGACTCTATATCGCATTTGCAGAAAGGATTCCAGAGTTTCCTGCTAAGGATACAGTTAACGGGCAACTCATTATTGAAAGATTCTCACATACTAAGGTCAGTGTTGCATTTGGTGACACATACTCTCTTCTGAGATTTGTATATAACATCTATTGCAATATTCCATTTGGAAATGTCTGGGTCACAACTTCTGATTGGAATATAACTACACTGCCCTTTGAACGAAATCTAAGTTGCACATACTTTGGTGGAGGATTATGTTTTTCTTTCCACAAGGAAGAGATTCCTGGCTTTAAAGATTTTCTTAGAACTGTTCAGCCTGCAAAATATCCTCATGATGTCTTTATCCAGTATGTGTCGTCTACGCTAGTTGAAAGTCCATATTTGGATCAACATGGAATCAAGACATTGAGTCAATGTGAAGAAAATGGTACCCTGGACATTCGGCCTCTGAATGTTTGGGACATGAACACTTCATCCCAGAGTTACCATGTTTATGCTGCTGTGTATGTCACTGTACCCGCTCTTCACAAAGAACTCTCACTCAGAGTGGAAGGAGAATCACTTGACAAAGGTGCAGAGGCAGCTCCTCATCCATGGCAGGTAGCAAAAGCTCATTCATCTATATTCCTAGGGCACTGGCCCATGCATTGTCCTTTCTGGTCCTTGATTCACTATTTTTTAAGAGTTCTTCTCAAATTATAAAGAAAACAGACTAAATTGTGTGGCATGGGTTAATTAAGGTCACTAACTTTCCTTGTGCTCTTTCCATTAAGTCCATTTATCTCTTTATAGTCTTTTTTGAAGATATACAAATTTCCCTCCAATTTTTGTCCTCATGATAATTTGATGTTAGACTTGCTAAAGAGCTAGAAAAGGGTTGTTCTCAAATTACTTCTGAATTATTTTCAGGAATTTCTCCTTTTACTATGGCAATTAAAAGATTAGTACAAAATTGCAGTTTATTGAAGACCACTTAAAGATTGTTCCTTTTTACATATTACTGAATACATGGGCTGTACATTCCATTTATCTTATTAGCAAATGGTCAATGAAGTTGATTTTCTCACAGACAATTAACTGAATTAAGTTTGTCATGTATTTTCTTAGAGATAACTCAGAATTGTGGACAAATAGGCGAGCAAGGGTAGGTATCCATTTATTTTTCTTTAAAAAGCAGCAATAACCTACTTTATACTATATTGTAAATGTCATCCTGTATCAGTACATGAAAATGGTATAGCATGGGGATAATTCATTCTCATTTATTTTATAGGTATATTTATTTGTTTTAGGTATATAATATTTATTTATTATTTTTATTTATTTATTACATGTATATTTATTTTATAGGTAGAGATGATTATTTAAGCAGTCCTTCATTTATTTACCATAT